TTGTGAAGGGTGTCAATGATTGTCTTCTGGACAACTGTCAGATCAGCAGTCTTCCCCATGATTGTGTAGCCTAGTGAACCAAACTGAGAGACCATTTTGAATGCTTAGGAAACCTTTGCAGGTGTTTTGAGTTGATTAGCTGATTGGCAAGTCACCATATTCTAATTTGTTGAGATAGTGAATTGGTGAGTTTTTGTTAAATGTGAGCCAAAATCATCACAATTAAAAGAACCAAAGACTTAAACTACTTCAGTCTGTGTGCATTGAATTTATTTAATACATGAGTTTCACAATTTGAGTTGAATTACTGAAATAAATGAACTTTTCCACGACATTCTAATTTATTGAGATGCACCTGTATAGTACCTGTCAAATGTTTGGACACACGAATGGGAAAGTGTCCAAACTTTTGACTGGTACTGTACTATAATATACACAAAGAATATCGGCCGATATATTGATATCTGCCTTTTTTTACTCCCTAATATCGGTTTCGGTATCGGCCCCCAAAAAATGGGGGCTCTAGTCATGACAAACCTAATTACTATTAGCTGATGTGAATCCCATGATTAAAGTGTTTAATATTTATATGGCCGTGTGTAAGATCTGATCTGATCTGCATCAAACACTGATGGCTGTGAGCAGCAGGTTGAGTTTCTCACAGGAATGTGGAGCTTATTCGGACCCCTGCGGACCCTTCGGCTGAAGCTCGACCCGTCCGTCGTTCATTCACACGACACACAATCCTCTGTTTGCTCTGAGTGTCTTCTGTGCCTTCTGAATTTTCACTCGGGTCTGTCCTGATGGCTCTCGGACTGCAGCGAACAACAGCGTTACATGCAAATAAATACATGTGACCAAACATATAACTGTGCATAGTTAGGACAGCAAAATAAATAGCAAATTAACTTTTAATGGGAGTAAACATTGTTGGTCAGTTGTCCAATCAATCTCTTCTGCTGTACAGCATTGTATTCTTCAGCCGGTATTCTCTTAGTAGCCTAATTTTGTTGGACCTGTGAAGTTCATGGCTATATATTGATTTTTAAGAACATTTGTTACCTTTGTTACCAGACTTTGCAATGGCCCATCTCACACCAAACACGCTGCGGCATTTAATTCAGCATCTGTATGATGAAAGACGTTTTTTTGATGTTTTAACATGTTTAATGTCTGTTTTTTCATCCTATTGGAAGTTCATCCTATCTGTTTAGTTGTGAACTTTTTTTATTTTTTTTATTTAGATCTTGTAATGTGTAATTCAGTTCATGTAGTCTGGTTAAAGTCCGCCTCTTTCTTACAATCCACTACATGCTCATTCAGATCTGCTTCCGTTTGAGAGCCACGCCCACATCTCAACGTCCAATCAACAACCGATGCATAGAACCAAGTCCCGCCCTGTGCTTTTCTTTTCAATAATTTGTTACGCTCCGATGAATGTCACAATCAGGAAGAAAAGATCTGATGCTGCTTCCGTTACGTCGAGACTTTACAGTTTTTGGTCATCATCATTATTAGACTTAAATGCAATGTTTTCAGTGTGAAATGTCAGTCGGGGGGAGAGTCTGAAATGTGTTGCTGATTTATGTTAATCCTGTTTTTCTTCTGCAGTCCCAGAAGTCCTGGATCGAACACAGTTTCACCAAGAGGGAATGTGTCTATATACTGCCCGTGTCAAAAGACCCGCACAGGTACGTCACGCGCTTCACGTTGTTATTATTAAAGGCTCAGACTTTATTGTGTGTCATCCTGCAGCATTTGTGCTGCAAGTCCAAACATCGCCGATGGGACTGAATCAAGCTCGAGTGCAACCGCATGACTTCATTCAATTGAGTTCATTTCGCGTGTCATTATCATATGCATAGAAGTTCTGGTTTCTCTCTAATATGACTTTTGTTTGCTTTTGCAGATGCCTCCCAGGATGCCAAATCTGTCAGCAGCTCGTGCGGTGAGTGTCACGAATCATGATGTTTGACACAGTCGAGATGTTCAGATGGAGCGTGTGCTGATGTGTGTGTGTGTGTGTGTGTGTGTGTAGATGCTGCTGCGGGCGTCTGGTTCGGCAGCACGTGGGCTTCACCGCCACACTGGCAGTGAAATACTCAGACGTGCGTCTCACCGAGGGAGTGCTGTCCGATCTGGAGCAGTGGTCAGTGGAGAAGCACACGGAGGAGAGTCCCACTGACGCTTATGGAGTCATCAACTTCCAGGGAGGATCCCATTCATACAGAGCCAAGGTCTGAACACACACACACACAGAACACTCAGAATGATCACGTGTGCACTGCACTGTCACTCAGTGCAGTGTTCTGATTGGTCAGGGTTAATGATGTCACTCAGTGCAGTGTTCTGATTGGTCAGGGTTAATGATGTCACTCAGTGCAGTGTTCTGATTGGTCAGGGTTAATGATGTCACTCAGTGCAGTGTTCTGATTGGTCAGGGTTAATGATGTCACTCAGTGCAGTGTTCTGATTGGTCAGGGTTAATGATGTCCTGCTCTGCTCTCTGCAGTATGTGCGTCTCTCCTATGACTCCCGTCCGGAGGCCATCCTGAGGCTCATGCTGAAGGAATGGCAGATGGAGCTGCCAAAGATCGTCATCAGCGTTCACGGGGGAATCCAGAACTTCGACCTGCATCCGCGGATCAAACAGGTGGTGGGAAAAGGACTGATCAAAGCTGCTGTCACCACCGGGGCCTGGATCCTGACCGGAGGGGTCAACACAGGTCACACACTCATTACTAGTGCATCATGGGTACAGATGGGCGGCACCAGACTCTCTACCTGCTGTACAGACGGCAGACTCAGCAAATATGTGTGTGTGTGATTTCACAGCGGCAGTTACAGGATTAACTTGATTATCATAATGACAGTCATTTGAGTTTAAAGATCAGGTCGATACACTTTATTAGTGTTTACACACTTGCAGTGCCTCTACACACACACACTCGCTGCTGAACACACACACACTTCTGTAGGGAGGTCACGACCCCTTGAGGGTCACGGTCACTGTAAACGGCTGACTGGGCGTTTTTCCACTGCGTTTCCAGGTGTGGCCAAACATGTGGGTGACGCTCTGAAGGAACATATGTCCAGATCGGCTCGGAAAATCTGTACGGTGGGAATCGCACCCTGGGGAGTGATCGAAAACAGGAACGACCTCATCGGAAGAGACGTGAGACTCATTTACACACACACACACACACACATTATGCGACCCATTTATGACCCTTTTTACACATGACCGTCACTGTGAATCTCACTGATAATAAATCAGCATATTATACTGATTTCTGAAGATCATGTGACACTGGAGACTGGAGTAATGATGCTGAAAATACAGCTGCGCATCACAGACATACATTACAGTTTAACAGAGATTCACATAGAAAACAGCTGTTTTAATTTGTAATGATGTTACTCAGTTATACAATTTTACTCTTTTTACTGTATTTTTGATCAAATATATGCAGCCTTAGTGAGCAGAAGAGACTTCTTTCACACACATTAAACAATATTAATGACCTTAAACTTCTGAACGGTAGTGTACAAACATCAATGATTGAAATATTGCAACAGTAATGCTGGACAGTATGAACAAAGTTCTGTACCTTAAATCAGAAATAAATTAGTGTTTCAAATCACAAAAAATATTTCGGAAGCGTCTGTATGAAAGCATAAAATCATTGTCTTGTTTGTGTGTGTGTTCAGGTTGTAGCGCCGTACCAAACCCTGCTGAATCCTCTCAGTAAACTCAACGTGCTGAACAACTTCCACTCTCATTTCGTCCTGGTGGATGATGGGACAGTCGGGAAATATGGAGCTGAAGTCAAACTCAGGAGAGAGCTGGAGAAACACATTAACCTTCAGAGAATCCACGCCCGTGAGACACACACGCACACACATACACACACGCGCACACTCACACACCTTTGAGTCCCAAACAATTGGTTGCAAGCATATATTATCCTGCAGTCGTTGTTATTCACACCAGCAGCGGTTCTTCATTCAGACTCTTTCTCATGTAAGAATTACATTAAAGTGATAAACTAAAAAAAAAACATCAATGCAAGATTTAAGTGATCAAAAAGTCACAAATGTAATTTTAATACGTAAATTATAAATATATATATGAAACCTACCTGCAAAGCTACAGTGCTGTTAAAAGTTTTAGGCACTTCGTGTAAAAATGCTGTAAGATGAGGATGCTGTCATAAATATATTTTCTTTATCAGTTAACTTCTATTAACTACATTAAACCAACATTTGGTGTGAGCATCTTTGTGTTTAAAGCAGCTTTTGCCCTCGGTGCACTTGAGCAGAGTTTCTCAGGAGCTTTGCAGGAGGTTTCTTGAAACGTCTCAGAGACACAGTTCTTCTGGATTGAGTCTGTCTCAGTTTGTTCTGTTTCTTCATGTAATCACAGACAGACTGATGATGTTCAGATCAGAGCTCTGTGTGCAGCACTAACATCTCAATGCATTATTACAGTTAATGGCTAAATGAATGTTTGGAAATGTAAACTAATGTTTCCTACTGACACACTACAGCAAAAGATAGAAATAACTGACTTAAAACCATTTTTAGCTGCTGGAAATACTAGTGTTCTAATCATTTTGGCCACCATTGTATGAATATATATATATATATATTGTGTGTGTACGCAGGCATTGGTCAGGGCGTCCCGGTCGTGGCACTGATCTTTGAAGGAGGTCCAAACGTGATCCTGACGGTGCTGGAGTATCTTCTCTTCATGTAATCACAGACAGACTGATGATGTTCAGATCAGAGCTCTGTGTGCAGCACTAACATCTCAATGCATTATTACAGTTAATGGCTAAATGAATGTTTGGAAATGTAAACTAATGTTTCCTACTGACACACTACAGCAAAAGATAGAAATAACTGACTTAAAACCATTTTTAGCTGCTGGAAATACTAGTGTTCTAATCATTTTGGCCACCATTGTATGAATATATATATATATATATTGTGTGTGTACGCAGGCATTGGTCAGGGCGTCCCGGTCGTGGCACTGATCTTTGAAGGAGGTCCAAACGTGATCCTGACGGTGCTGGAGTATCTTCAGGAGAGCCCGCCGGTGCCGGTGGTGGTGTGTGAGGGAACCGGACGCGCGGCTGATATACTGGCATACGTACACAAGCAGACTGAGCAGGACGGGTATACAAACACACACACACACACACACACAGGTTTGTTTTTATGGTTTATGGGGACTCTCCATAGGCGTAATGGTTTTTATACTGTACAGACCGTATATTCTATTGCCCTACACCAACCCTACCCCTAAACCTACCCCTCACAGGAGACTTTCTGCATTTTTAGATTTTCAAAAAAACTAATTCTGAATTATTTATAAGCCTTTTGAATTACGGGGACACTGAAAATGTCCTCATAAATCACCTTCTCGTTGTAATACCTGTCATACCCATGTTATTATACAAATTTGTGTCCTCATAAACCACATAAACATGCACACACACTCACTCACGCTCTCACACACACACACAAACACACAGAGACAGACGCGCGCGCACAGAGATTTTGATTAAAATACTGTTGTAAAATACAAAATAATACTGTGAAATATTATTGCAATTTAAAATAAAAGTTTTAAAAAAATATATACTTTAAAATATAATGTATTTCTGTGATGCGCAGCTGTATTTTCAGCATCATTCCTCCAGTCTTCAGTGTCACATGATCTTCAGAAATCAGTATAATATGCTGATTTATTATCAGAGCTGGAAACTGTTGTGCTGCTTCATATTTTTTTTGGAACCTGTGATACTTTTTCAGGATTCTTTGATAAATATAAAGTTAAAAAGAAGAGCATTTATTTAAAATAGAAATTCTGTGTTACAATATACACTATTCAGAAGTTTGTGGTCAGTCATTTTTTTCTTTTTTTTAAAGAAATTAATACTTTTATTCAGCAAGAATGTGTTAAATGGATAAAAAGTGATAGTAAATACTTATATTGTTTTGAAAATATTTATATTTTGAATAAATGCTGTTCTTTTAAACTTTTTATTCATCAAAGAATCAAAGAAAAAAGTATCACAGTTTAAAAAAATAAATGAATATGAAGCAGCACAACAGTTTCCAGCACTGATAATAAATCAGCATATTATACTGATTTCTGAAGATCATGTGACACTGAAGACTGGAGGAATGATGCTGAAAATACAGCTGCGCATCACAGAAATACATTACAGTTTAACAGAGATTCACATAGAAAACCAATATTAGAAATGGCAATGTTTCACAATATTACAGTTTTTTTCTGTATTTTTGATCAAATAAATACATCATTGATGAACAGAAGAGACACCATTAAAAAAACAAGGTCAATTATTTATTAGGTTTATAATATAGGCGTAACATAATATCAAAACAAACTGAAGCATTTGAACTGAGATCTGTAAGTTAAATATTTAAAAATCTATAGCTATCTAAACATCTCTATGAAGTACAGTTTGCACAATACACCTGTGTGACTGTAAATATCTCTTGAGTTTTGTTACCGTTCTGTGCTCATCATCAGCTATTTCCAGCACTTAATCAAGCCACTCTTCTTTAATACATGAAGAACTTTTATTTCACATGTCATTGCGTTTGCATTGGCTCTCGGTTTGAGCTATTTCGTCCGCTACCATTAAAATATTCAGTTTCTACAGCGACTCATCCGGCGCACATCATTCTCTTTCTATGAAACCTGTAAACCGCATTCACCGGTTCTAACTCTATAGCGATATCAACTGTATAGCGGTTTTCCCGAGCATTGCAATTCATTAGCTTTCGCAATTGGTTTCCCAACTCATTTATGCGTGTGCGCGGCACATTACTACTACATTATTTTTTTGCCTGCGCAGCTTAGAGGGAACATTGCTCGTATCCACTTATGTTTGTCAGTATGACAGCAGTCAGATGTTATTACTGTGATTTGTGTCATAAGAGCTCGATGTAGAATATAAGCTTTACATTCACACCTTGAGTCAAGACAAAACCTGTGTGTGTTTGTAGAGCGCTGCCTGATGGTGTTGAGGCCGACATCATTGCGACAATCAAGAAAACATTCAACTTCAGCCAGAGCGACGCACTGCATCTCTTCCAGACGCTGATGGAGTGCATGAAGAACAAAGAGCTGGTACACACACACACGCGCACTCTCTCTCACACACACGCACTCGCACTCAGTATTTGGTCCGTAAGCTGTGGTTTATGAGAGACACACGCACATGCTGCAGGTCCTCGTCAGTGTTTGACCCTCGTGTGTGTGTGTTTCAGATCACAGTGTTTCCTGTGGGCTCGGAGGACCATCAGGACATCGATGTGGCCATCCTGAAGGCTCTGCTCAAAGGTCAGTGGAACGACCCTCATCATCTCTGTGTGTATGTGAGTGTGTGTGTTTGACTGATGCAGGCGTTTCTGCTGCAAATGAACCGAATCAGACCATCATCTCCTGAACCTCCATCA